TAAACTAAAAAGTCTCCTGTCAAGCATGACTGAATACTTACTGGAGCTATCTTTTTAAAAAGTTTAAATTTAATTAAGTAAATTTAAAATTACGCCATTTGCCAAAATATTTAAAAATGCAACTTAATGAGGAAAATTTCGCCAAAGTATTCTCGGTCCTTTCGGAAAGAATGGCTTCAAGAAAAAAATCTTAAAGGTGCTTACCTTTAAGATTTTTATCTTGAAGCCATTCTTTCCGAAAGGACCGAGAATACTTTGTCCATTTTCCCATTTTAATATCAATAATAAATAAATTATAAAACTTATATAAATTATACTATGTTTAAAAACAAAACGAGTAGACAGCGCAACAAGTATTACCGTTCTGTGCGCAAAACAAAGGATGAAATAACTTGTGTAACCAGCCCAAAATGTAGCCAAGTCAAATTTTTGTAGCCCAAAAGTAGCCAGTGCGCCAAATGTTTTTTTAACGCCAAACTGAAAAATAAGTAGCCCAATTTGGCTCAAAGTAGCCAAATCTGGCAACGCTGTTCACACCTGCAGTATACATTGTTTACAAACTAGTAGACCTTGAAAACAGCTGTTGTCAGCTTTCCCAGGTAGTTCTCATGTACGCCTCAGGGGAATATTGGTTTAAAGCAGGAGAGCAGCTAATTTACCGCATCTGTTCAAATACAACACAATATTTTCGATTTTTACGCCATTAAATTAAGAGGAGACCGAAAAAAATATGGGAAAAATTCTACTGAACAAAAAACAAAATAAACCTGCTGATTTCATAAAAACATTTGTGAGATAAACTTATAATACAAAGTTGATAGAACTTGTGCACAAGATTTTGCGATATGATCTCTAACTTTTAAGGGGGGGGGGCTTTAAAAGTATTTATATGAAAGGTGGAGACATATGATTGTATAATCCAGTCTCCTGTAAGAATACCCAACCCCAGCTAAACTAAAGGATGAATACAAAATAAAATACACAATTGAATCAAAATACAATGAATGGAGTTACAAATATTACATTAGGGGATTTTTACCGTAGGGAGATCAAAGTATCCGACTTAAATCAATATTTAACCTAATCGCGCGAAATCTAACACTTTGCGCGGAGAGATCAATCTATAAATGCATACTACCTTTACATTTCCCGTAAGTATCTTGTATATGAATGTTGTCTTATCGTTCACGAATAGTGAGACTTTTAGGAATCGTAAAATCTATGAATACGCTATTACAATAAGGTCAACATCTATGTGGCAGTCCTCCTATCTTGGAACGACTTTTGTCGTATGTTATATGGCAAGTACTTCTTTCGATGAACTGTCCCTATGTCATGTTTGTACCTCGTTGAACTGCCTGGAGTAACGGGAAAATGTCCCTTTTATACGAGTCGATGGCCTAAAAGACGGCCAAATCTCGGATGTGGCCGCTTTTGACTCAACTTCCAATACACCAGTAGGAAAGGAAGTTTATTTCCTTCCAAAAACGAAAGTATCAACATCTCTTGTGTGAATTAAACTATTATAATTATAAAATATTATAATTCTATTCGAGATTAAGAGCCTGTACAAACTAGGCGTTTTTAAACGCGGGTTTTAAAGAACCAAGAGTTCTATGTATTCATCCACACTGAAACGCGCGCGTCTGGCCAAGCGCGCGTTAAACGCGCGTTTATAGACTTTTGTTAAAACGCGCGTTTTGCGAGCGCTCGTATACGGGCGCTTTGAGATATGTGTGATGCCTTATAGCGACGATGGAGGAGCACACACAATCAATTACTTTCACGTCCATTTCCAAACTGAGCCAGTGCTAACGCCGAACTAACGCTCGTCGAACGCCTAGTGTGTACAGGCTCTAAAACATTATTTTCAATGAATAATTCTTTTAGAACAATCCCTTTTTTTCAGGATTCTCACATATCGAATGCGCTTTCAAAAAATTTACCGAAGTCAAATTGATCAAATAGAACTTTAGAACGATTTAGTTAATTTTTTCATTAAAATATCTCCCATAAAAACAATAGCGCGATTAAATACCTAAATAAATTGTCATATAATGTTTTTGTGGCAAAAATAATTTATAAAATTTACAGAGATTATAGATAATGATGTATATATGCTGATCCATACATTTTGCGGCCGGATGGCCGAGTGTTCAAGGTGGCAGCCTACCACTCTGGGATAACCGGGTTTGAATCCGAACGGGTCGAAAAATTCTTAAGAATTTTTCGGGGGGTTTTCCGTTCGAACATGTCGGGCCCCTTCCCTCACCACCCGGTTGCCCCATTGTGGGCCTGGCCGAACCCATAATGGGCTTGCAAAAAGAGGCCCTCTTAGTGCCCACAGGGCAGAAAGAGTAAAAAAAACTAACCATATATTTTTGGAAAAGTTATTAGTCAATGCTATTTTTTAGGCCCTAAGGCCTAAGTCTGAGATAACTCGGGATATGGACTGCGCAGTGTCACGTGTGGCTTGAGTTATCTTAAGTTATAGGCGAAAGGGAATAATTTTTAATTATTTCATATTCTTTTTTATCTAATATTTAATTATTATTATTATTATTATTACGTTTAATTTTTTATTTTTCCAAATCTTTACTTATATTAGTCCTTAACATTGGTTTTTCTTCATTATTTGCTGGTAGTTTTTGTATTACATTTTCAATTTCAGCTACTAACAAAAAGGATTTGGAATACACTAGGAGATTCATATTATGTAGCCAGGTTAACTGTCTTAATTAATCACGTGGTATCTCTACATTAGTATGATTAATTATCAATTTATTCAGCCATTCTTGTTTTTCTAAATTAAAATCACAAAATTTAAAACGACGGGATTTGTTATTGCATATTTACAAGCATTAAGCAAATATAATACTTTGAAATACGTACTATAATTCAAGATATAGGCTATATTTTCAAATTATTTATCATTTTTTCAAACTATAAAAATTAAATAAACTATTATTGCAGGATAGAGCCTAGTAGGCCCGCCTAAATGGGCGTGCAAAGCATGCACCGCACGCGGGCAGCATGTCCAAGGACGGCAATTACAATATCTTTTTATTAATGACTTAATTTCAACATTTCCGAACACAGCAATAGCACTAAGAATATTACTTACATTGCCGGTTTCAGTTGCATTTGATGAAAGGTCTTTTGAAAAGTTAAAATTATATAAAAAAAACTATTTAAGATCAACAATGCACCAGCAAAACCTAAGTAATTTAGCTATAGTTTTAATTGAACGTGAAATCTCAAACAGCTCGAATATAAGAAAATTGATAGCAGATTTCACAAACATAAAGGCAAGAAGAGTTGAATTTCTGTAGGTAAATATTTATATGGTTTTACACCTAAGTAAACATAAATAATTTAGTAATAAAAATAAATAGTTTTTCTTTGTAAAGTATTTCTTTTCTTTTTTCACACCCTTATGAGACAACACTAAAGAGCCTTTCTGGCAAGTTCAGTGTAGATAGTCGTGGTTAAACAGGGGGCGGCATAATCGGTATTGCATGCGGGCGTTCAAACAACTAGTGGCGCTTCTGAAGCCTAGGCCTAAATAGCTGACAGACACGACATATGGTATCTGTCATACAAGTAAAGAGAAGGAAGAGAATATCACTAGATGACATGTCATCCCAATTCGACCCAGAAATTGCCAGTGTAAATTAATAACCAACGTGTCTGTCAAAAATGTGTAGAGGCATGCTGCTTGGAGTGTGGATAGTTTACTGCACGCTCTCTACATCAACATCGAAGATTATTAATTTATTTTGTCTTAACTTTTTCCAAATTTCGCTATATTTGTACAGAAAAGTAAGTAAATTAAAACAAATGTAATGCGTTTAACACAGCAAATTTCAATATAATACCAAACTCTTAGACCACGGTTACACTAGTGTTGTATGAATAAACCTAATTAGGAATATTACGAATTCTGTTGATCCATTTCTTTGAGATCAATTTTCTTCCAAAGAAATGAGCTCCACTATATTGGTAATCTCTTTTCGTATAGAGCATTCGTTTCTTTGTTGTAAAATGTCCTTGAAAAAAATACAAATGTTTTAAAAAAATTTTTTCTATGTAAGCAAATCAGTGAACAAATTAAGACGAATGTACTATAATGTTATTCTCGTATTCTTGAGCAGATAGCACTATAATTTAGATAATAAACATTATCTGTAAGTATTTTGCATAAAACAATATACTGTTATATTTATTTTTTCGTAACGAATTAAATTCTCATCTCTCGTAAAAGATATCGTAAAAAAGTAGTTATGGATAGAAGGTAAAGATCGTAATATATAGTTTTAACCGTCCGGCCTGATTAATAATAAATTCTCACATTTTACTTTATATTTTGAAAAATTGTCAAATACTTTTATTGAAGTTAGGCTACTTGTCAATCTCCTATACTTACTAAAAATTTGTTTATACTTCTATAATTATATTTAAACACTGCTGTCACTTTTGTACTCCGTATTATCCGTGCATATGTATATATAGTTGGCTTATTGATTAATCATATCACTCATCCAAGTTATTGTGAATTGTTGAGTTTGTTATTTAAATCAAAATAGTTGTTACAATGATAATTTAGTTTAACTTTTTATTAGATTAAATTCTTAAGTAAAGTATTTATTTGATTTCATATTTTTATTTGATTATTTAATATTTTTATTATCATTTAATTAAATAAAAATAATTGAACAAATCTAAAATGTTTTAATGTGTTGTTTCAAATCATATTTAACTTTTAATGCAAACTAGAAATATAGGTTGATTTATTTTAAAGGCAAATTCTGTTTCCCTATAGTAGTTGATTTATTGTCCTAATAATTACAATAATAAATCATTGATAAATGTTCTTAAAATTAGAACAAAAAAAATAAATTTTCACACACGACATTTTTTTTATTTTATAATTATATTCAGACTTTTTATTTTTGAACTTTAAAATTTGTACATATATATTAAAATGTTGAGCAAATAAATAACAAAATAAATATAAAATTATAATAATATAAACTAGAAGAATTACAATAAAATTTGAATAAATAAAAGAAAATTGAAATACATAATTTTTTTGTTACGTATAAAGTTTTTATTT